TAATAAATAATGTATATATTTAGCAAGCATTTAGTTATGTTACTCTTTTATCATCTTTGGCAAACAGTTATCAATTCACAGTTTTACTGGGGTTTCCCTTGCGTGATTGAAATGCTGATAAAATACAGTACATGGCATTTAAAGGAAGTCGATGCGCAGGCGGAGGAGCGTCCCCGCGGGTGGCCGCTCCGCTCCGCCTCTCATACTGGGTGCACCTGTAGCATTGCTCGTTATTTATGCTGGAAAGTGCTGGCCAGGAGTGGGCTGGGCCCGCTCACAGGGGAAGGACGTTAGGGAGGGAGGGAGGGGGATGGGATGGGATGGCGGCAGTTGCTAATGTCCGAAAGGTTAAAAGAGAAGACGAGATCAGTTAAAGTTTTGGTTTCACTGCCAAAGTCATAGAGGAGCACGACAGGACTGTGAGTACCTGTACATGTTGGATTCAGCGAGGCTACATTTAATCGTTCCGATGTTGGTGTTCGAGAGCAGACAGAAGTTTTTAGTCTTTAGTTAAAATGTGGTTTTAGCATTAGTCAGGTTGTAGTGATGTTACGTTACCAGTTAAAACAAGGAGAATTGGAAAGTTTTGACAGGTTTGAGAGGAAACAAGTGAAGATCCAAAGGTTTGTTGTGAGGATTTTTTTGGGAGGGGAAAGATGACGAGCATGTGGAAAGTTGACGAGGGGGGGAGATGCCAGAAGTCGTGAAAGAGCGAGGAAATTAACTTAAGCTTTATGATGTTTCTGATACTTGAGTGACACACAGGAGGAGGAAAAAAAAGAATCCCTGGTGATGTCCGCCGGATCAGTTTGGATGTGCCGCAGTTTCTCCTGTTATCCATTTTACCATTTAACTTTATGGAGAGTGGGCGACTTATAACAATATTGATGCACTTTTAAAACACACTCCTTAAGATTGGTAAGGGGATGGTGGTTGAGGAGAGTTCAGTGGGTTAGTAGGGTAATTTGTTTGGAAATTTTTTAGTTTTTCTTTTAAGTTATTTGATTTTCTTTTTTTCTGGGCTGGATTCCCATGGGGTAATGCACGTTTCCTTGAAAGCTATTCCTCGACAGGTGAGTAGACGTAGGATAATCAGTCATTGTATAATAGTATAGAAACTACGTAAAGCCAAGTCACATGTAGACTTAGATTTTTTTTTTTTTTTGATTCAGTGCGTTTATTTACTTGAAATTTTGTTCATTCATAGCCAAAACCTTCCAATAGCCTTTTAAAGAGTTCAACACATTCTGTGTCCAAACTATTCTTATTGTTTTGTTCTTTGTATGTAAAACTGCTCTTTGAACTGAAACGTTAAAACTGCCATTTTTGTGACTTCTCTCCATCATAGACGTGGGTATGAAGGAGTTCACGTAGTCTGAAAGTTTTGTGTATATAACCAGTTTCCCCTGAAGAGCAGAAATCCTCATTATATATTAGAACAGACATAGTTTCTTTATTGTGTTCATGCATGTTCTGTTGTTGTGCGAAAGCCAAATGTTTTTTCCT